AAAGGCTGTAAACTATCATATATATATATATATAAGAGTGTGGTACGCCGGAGAACAAATTTAAATAATTTAATAGCATTTGACCCATGTGCAGGCCTTAAAAGTTATGTCACTGGTATCCCAAACGAAACTCATTTCCTGTGAGATAAAAGAAAATGTATAGGGCTATGAGTAAACGGTCAAGTTATARACAAAAGCAGAAAGTAATATACAATTACTTTCACTTTTTGACGTGAGAATTGTCATGTAGACACAAGAGTTCCATCAGTTCTCTTATATCTCACCGGAAATGAGCTTAGGCTGCCCAATGGTAATATGATAATTAAAGTTCAGCATTTTCTCATTATCCATGATGTGAATTATTGTAATGTGCTTTTACAAACAAATTTTATGCAATTTTTGAATTCAGTATATTATATACAGCCTTTTCTATTTTGGAAAACCATGCACAATTTCAATTGATAAACTAAAACTTCATACATGCCTTAGAGGCATGAATTACTGCGGTATATTAAATATTATTCTAAATGCTGTGAAATTACTCATTTTCATGTCCAATAAATAGGATTTTGTTTATGTCACAGAATGACTTGTTTGCAATGGAAATCTAGGGACTGTTCGTTTCACTAACCTTTCACCTTTCAAATGTTGAAAACAATTCTATAACCTCTTTCTAATGCATAGCTAGTCCGTCACTATGGAGTAGATATTTTTGTATTTATCATATTATAATTAACTAGTATGAAATACCTATTTAAAATAGATATACTGGAAGTATGAAAAGTTACTTTAGGACATAATTTGCTTTTCATATATAATTATATGATAAACAGAATATTGCATGGTCACTTGGAGATACAAATTTTATCTTCCTGTGTTGAAAATCTTTCACTCACTCATGAGAGATCTTTTCAACACTCAAAGATAAAATCTGTATTTCCGCACACCTGTGTAATATCCTCTATTTACACTGACGACATGTCTGCCATGCTTCTATTTATACCGTAACAACACTTTCTCACTTTCTCTTCATGTTGGTGACTGACATCAACATAATCACAATTTGACTTCATATTCAACATCCATGTTTTCACTTTTGGCCATGGACTAAAATCAAAAGAMAGTAGCTCAAGCAATGATAGAATCAATGCCACCCAACTGTCAGCAAAMGTTTCTCTTTCTCCACAAAGGAAAGTTGAATTATTGAGGTAGTGGTTTTCAAGTGTGTTGAGGTGGAARATCACTTCTGTCTTGCCGTAAGAGATGAGTGACATGTTTGCATCGCCAGCTAAGCTGTCTTCTTGAAGGGATAGAGATGGGTTGATGTAATTATGGCAAACATCCCTTTGAAAATTGACAATATATCAGTTACTGGAATTAATTGTATTACTTTGGTAAATCATGGTATGATCATAAATTTTCATTGAAATGAATTTTTCATAAATAAACTATCCCTAAAGATAACAAAAGGTTTTATAAAAGAGCATGGTTGTTAAAATTTTTGAAACCCTTAAAAGATCAGCTAAAAATAATACTGTCAAACTATATGTCCTCTTATATTCCCATACAAATTTATTAATATTTGAAAATGTATCTCCAAGTTACAAAACCTAAAAAAGTCTTAGTTTTTACTCTTAGAAGAGACAACAAAAATGCTTGAAAATTTGTCAAAGCACTTCCCCCCTCCCTT